TGTGGTTACCAGCAGCAGCAAAGGTGTGGTTACCAGCAGCAGCAAAGGTGTGGTTACCAGCAGCAGCAAAGGTGTGGTTACCAGCAGCAGCAAAGGTGTGGTTACCAGCAGCAGCAAAGGTGTGGTTACCAGCAGCAGCAAAGGTGTGGTTACCAGCAGCAGCAAAGGTGTGGTTACCAGCAGCAGCAAAGGTGTGGTTACCAGCAGCAGCAAAGGTGTGGTTACCAGCAGCAGCAAAGGTGTGGTTACCAGCAGCAGCAAAGGTGTGGTTACCAGCAGCAGCAAAGGTGTGGTTACCAGCAGCAGCAAAGGTGTGGTTACCAGCAGCAGCAAAGGTGTGGTTACCAGCAGCAGCAAAGGTGTGGTTACCAGCAGCAGCAAAGGTGTGGTTACCAGCAGCAGCAAAGGTGTGGTTACCAGCAGCAGCAAAGGTGTGGTTACCAGCAGCAGCAAAGGTGTGGTTACCAGCAGCAGCAAAGGTGTGGTTACCAGCAGCAGCAAAGGTGTGGTTACCAGCAGCAGCAAAGGTGTGGTTACCAGCAGCAGCAAAGGTGTGGTTACCAGCAGCAGCAAAGGTGTGGTTACCAGCAGCAGCAAAGGTGTGGTTACCAGCAGCAGCAAAGGTGTGGTTACCAGCAGCAGCAAAGGTGTGGTTACCAGCAGCAGCAAAGGTGTGGTTACCAGCAGCAGCAAAGGTGTGGTTACCAGCAGCAGCAAAGGTGTGGTTACCAGCAGCAGCAAAGGTGTGGTTACCAGCAGCAGCAAAGGTGTGGTTACCAGCAGCAGCAAAGGTGTGGTTACCAGCAGCAGCAAAGGTGTGGTTACCAGCAGCAGCAAAGGTGTGGTTACCAGCAGCAGCAAAGGTGTGGTTACCAGCAGCAGCAAAGGTGTGGTTACCAGCAGCAGCAAAGGTGTGGTTACCAGCAGCAGCAAAGGTGTGGTTACCAGCAGCAGCAAAGGTGTGGTTACCAGCAGCAGCAAAGGTGTGGTTACCAGCAGCAGCAAAGGTGTGGTTACCAGCAGCAGCAAAGGTGTGGTTACCAGCAGCAGCAAAGGTGTGGTTACCAGCAGCAGCAAAGGTGTGGTTACCAGCAGCAGCAAAGGTGTGGTTACCAGCAGCAGCAAAGGTGTGGTTACCAGCAGCAGCAAAGGTGTGGTTACCAGCAGCAGCAAAGGTGTGGTTACCAGCAGCAGCAAAGGTGTGGTTACCAGCAGCAGCAAAGGTGTGGTTACCAGCAGCAGCAAAGGTGTGGTTACCAGCAGCAGCAAAGGTGTGGTTACCAGCAGCAGCAAAGGTGTGGTTACCAGCAGCAGCAAAGGTGTGGTTACCAGCAGCAGCAAAGGTGTGGTTACCAGCAGCAGCAAAGGTGTGGTTACCAGCAGCAGCAAAGGTGTGGTTACCAGCAGCAGCAAAGGTGTGGTTACCAGCAGCAGCAAAGGTGTGGTTACCAGCAGCAGCAAAGGTGTGGTTACCAGCAGCAGCAAAGGTGTGGTTACCAGCAGCAGCAAAGGTGTGGTTACCAGCAGCAGCAAAGGTGTGGTTACCAGCAGCAGCAAAGGTGTGGTTACCAGCAGCAGCAAAGGTGTGGTTACCAGCAGCAGCAAAGGTGTGGTTACCAGCAGCAGCAAAGGTGTGGTTACCAGCAGCAGCAAAGGTGTGGTTACCAGCAGCAGCAAAGGTGTGGTTACCAGCAGCAGCAAAGGTGTGGTTACCAGCAGCAGCAAAGGTGTGGTTACCAGCAGCAGCAAAGGTGTGGTTACCAGCAGCAGCAAAGGTGTGGTTACCAGCAGCAGCAAAGGTGTGGTTACCAGCAGCAGCAAAGGTGTGGTTACCAGCAGCAGCAAAGGTGTGGTTACCAGCAGCAGCAAAGGTGTGGTTACCAGCAGCAGCAAAGGTGTGGTTACCAGCAGCAGCAAAGGTGTGGTTACCAGCAGCAGCAAAGGTGTGGTTACCAGCAGCAGCAAAGGTGTGGTTACCAGCAGCAGCAAAGGTGTGGTTACCAGCAGCAGCAAAGGTGTGGTTACCAGCAGCAGCAAAGGTGTGGTTACCAGCAGCAGCAAAGGTGTGGTTACCAGCAGCAGCAAAGGTGTGGTTACCAGCAGCAGCAAAGGTGTGGTTACCAGCAGCAGCAAAGGTGTGGTTACCAGCAGCAGCAAAGGTGTGGTTACCAGCAGCAGCAAAGGTGTGGTTACCAGCAGCAGCAAAGGTGTGGTTACCAGCAGCAGCAAAGGTGTGGTTACCAGCAGCAGCAAAGGTGTGGTTACCAGCAGCAGCAAAGGTGTGGTTACCAGCAGCAGCAAAGGTGTGGTTACCAGCAGCAGCAAAGGTGTGGTTACCAGCAGCAGCAAAGGTGTGGTTACCAGCAGCAGCAAAGGTGTGGTTACCAGCAGCAGCAAAGGTGTGGTTACCAGCAGCAGCAAAGGTGTGGTTACCAGCAGCAGCAAAGGTGTGGTTACCAGCAGCAGCAAAGGTGTGGTTACCAGCAGCAGCAAAGGTGTGGTTACCAGCAGCAGCAAAGGTGTGGTTACCAGCAGCAGCAAAGGTGTGGTTACCAGCAGCAGCAAAGGTGTGGTTACCAGCAGCAGCAAAGGTGTGGTTACCAGCAGCAGCAAAGGTGTGGTTACCAGCAGCAGCAAAGGTGTGGTTACCAGCAGCAGCAAAGGTGTGGTTACCAGCAGCAGCAAAGGTGTGGTTACCAGCAGCAGCAAAGGTGTGGTTACCAGCAGCAGCAAAGGTGTGGTTACCAGCAGCAGCAAAGGTGTGGTTACCAGCAGCAGCAAAGGTGTGGTTACCAGCAGCAGCAAAGGTGTGGTTACCAGCAGCAGCAAAGGTGTGGTTACCAGCAGCAGCAAAGGTGTGGTTACCAGCAGCAGCAAAGGTGTGGTTACCAGCAGCAGCAAAGGTGTGGTTACCAGCAGCAGCAAAGGTGTGGTTACCAGCAGCAGCAAAGGTGTGGTTACCAGCAGCAGCAAAGGTGTGGTTACCAGCAGCAGCAAAGGTGTGGTTACCAGCAGCAGCAAAGGTGTGGTTACCAGCAGCAGCAAAGGTGTGGTTACCAGCAGCAGCAAAGGTGTGGTTACCAGCAGCAGCAAAGGTGTGGTTACCAGCAGCAGCAAAGGTGTGGTTACCAGCAGCAGCAAAGGTGTGGTTACCAGCAGCAGCAAAGGTGTGGTTACCAGCAGCAGCAAAGGTGTGGTTACCAGCAGCAGCAAAGGTGTGGTTACCAGCAGCAGCAAAGGTGTGGTTACCAGCAGCAGCAAAGGTGTGGTTACCAGCAGCAGCAAAGGTGTGGTTACCAGCAGCAGCAAAGGTGTGGTTACCAGCAGCAGCAAAGGTGTGGTTACCAGCAGCAGCAAAGGTGTGGTTACCAGCAGCAGCAAAGGTGTGGTTACCAGCAGCAGCAAAGGTGTGGTTACCAGCAGCAGCAAAGGTGTGGTTACCAGCAGCAGCAAAGGTGTGGTTACCAGCAGCAGCAAAGGTGTGGTTACCAGCAGCAGCAAAGGTGTGGTTACCAGCAGCAGCAAAGGTGTGGTTACCAGCAGCAGCAAAGGTGTGGTTACCAGCAGCAGCAAAGGTGTGGTTACCAGCAGCAGCAAAGGTGTGGTTACCAGCAGCAGCAAAGGTGTGGTTACCAGCAGCAGCAAAGGTGTGGTTACCAGCAGCAGCAAAGGTGTGGTTACCAGCAGCAGCAAAGGTGTGGTTACCAGCAGCAGCAAAGGTGTGGTTACCAGCAGCAGCAAAGGTGTGGTTACCAGCAGCAGCAAAGGTGTGGTTACCAGCAGCAGCAAAGGTGTGGTTACCAGCAGCAGCAAAGGTGTGGTTACCAGCAGCAGCAAAGGTGTGGTTACCAGCAGCAGCAAAGGTGTGGTTACCAGCAGCAGCAAAGGTGTGGTTACCAGCAGCAGCAAAGGTGTGGTTACCAGCAGCAGCAAAGGTGTGGTTACCAGCAGCAGCAAAGGTGTGGTTACCAGCAGCAGCAAAGGTGTGGTTACCAGCAGCAGCAAAGGTGTGGTTACCAGCAGCAGCAAAGGTGTGGTTACCAGCAGCAGCAAAGGTGTGGTTACCAGCAGCAGCAAAGGTGTGGTTACCAGCAGCAGCAAAGGTGTGGTTACCAGCAGCAGCAAAGGTGTGGTTACCAGCAGCAGCAAAGGTGTGGTTACCAGCAGCAGCAAAGGTGTGGTTACCAGCAGCAGCAAAGGTGTGGTTACCAGCAGCAGCAAAGGTGTGGTTACCAGCAGCAGCAAAGGTGTGGTTACCAGCAGCAGCAAAGGTGTGGTTACCAGCAGCAGCAAAGGTGTGGTTACCAGCAGCAGCAAAGGTGTGGTTACCAGCAGCAGCAAAGGTGTGGTTACCAGCAGCAGCAAAGGTGTGGTTACCAGCAGCAGCAAAGGTGTGGTTACCAGCAGCAGCAAAGGTGTGGTTACCAGCAGCAGCAAAGGTGTGGTTACCAGCAGCAGCAAAGGTGTGGTTACCAGCAGCAGCAAAGGTGTGGTTACCAGCAGCAGCAAAGGTGTGGTTACCAGCAGCAGCAAAGGTGTGGTTACCAGCAGCAGCAAAGGTGTGGTTACCAGCAGCAGCAAAGGTGTGGTTACCAGCAGCAGCAAAGGTGTGGTTACCAGCAGCAGCAAAGGTGTGGTTACCAGCAGCAGCAAAGGTGTGGTTACCAGCAGCAGCAAAGGTGTGGTTACCAGCAGCAGCAAAGGTGTGGTTACCAGCAGCAGCAAAGGTGTGGTTACCAGCAGCAGCAAAGGTGTGGTTACCAGCAGCAGCAAAGGTGTGGTTACCAGCAGCAGCAAAGGTGTGGTTACCAGCAGCAGCAAAGGTGTGGTTACCAGCAGCAGCAAAGGTGTGGTTACCAGCAGCAGCAAAGGTGTGGTTACCAGCAGCAGCAAAGGTGTGGTTACCAGCAGCAGCAAAGGTGTGGTTACCAGCAGCAGCAAAGGTGTGGTTACCAGCAGCAGCAAAGGTGTGGTTACAAGCAGGCAAGGCATGGGGTTACCAGCAGGAACCGGCCCATTGAGGCATGGTGTTGGTCTCCCGCCTGGCGGGTAGTCCTGATGCTGGATCTGTTGTATTCACCTGAAGGAAACACGAAAATTGAGGGAGCGGGGAGGGAAGGAGGGGAGGATGCAGAGAGGTCAGTAAGGATCGGGGCGGGGTGATGGGGGAAAATACCAAATGGCTGGCTCCTGACTTCACTTCCCTGCTGCTGCCCTTGCATCCCCACCCATTTTCCGTGGCTCTTTCTCAGCCTTCTAATTCTATTCTTCCTGCTATCCCCGTAATCCGTGTCCTCCCCACTGCCCCCTTCAAGAAGCCTACCTAGTCAGTGGCCTTGGCAAGGGGTGGTTCCTTCCTCCGTGCCGGTGGGATTGAAGTGGGCCATTTCAGGCAGCACCACCGGCAGCTGTGACTCCGGTACCCACACCGCCAATGTCACACCCTTCCCCTCACCTCTTCTCTCAATCTCAGCCTACCCAGTCAGTGGCCTTGGCAAGGGGCTGTTCCCCCGTGCCCATGGGGTTAAAAACGTCCATTTCAGGCAGAACCACCGGCAGCTGTGCCTCCGGCACGCCCACCCCACACGCTCTCTCCTTCCCTGCCCACTAACAAACCAACGCTTCCCCCCTCCTCAAGCCTACCCAGTCAGTGGCCTTGGCAAGCGGTGGTTCCCCCGTGCCAGTGGGGTTGAAGTCGTCCATTTCAGGCAGCACCACCGGCAGCTGTGACTCCGGCACGCCCACCACGCGCTCCTGCCCGTCTTCACCCGGCACCAGCACCACCGGGAACGGCTCGCCCCAGTAGCGCTGCCGGGCGAATAACCAGTCCCGCAGTTTGTAGTTGATCTGCGAGGAGGGGGGGAGGGGGGAGTTGGGGCGGGGGTGGCACTTTGAGCGAGCTCCGACTCCCCCCAGTAGCGCTGGCGGGCGAATAACCAGTCCCTCAGCTTGTAGTTGATCTGCAAGGAGGGGGGATGAGGGGGGTGGTTGGGGGGTTGGTGTCACTCCGAACGAGCTATAAAAGCTGCTGTTACCGGCTCGCCCCAGTAGCGCTGCCGGGCGAATAGCCAGTCCCGCAGCTTGTAGTTGATCTGCGAGGGGGAGGGAGGGGGGAGTTGGGGCGGGGGTGGCACTTTGAGCGAGCTCCGACTCCCCCCAGTAGCACTGCCAGGCGAATAACCAGTCCCTCAGCTTGTAGTTGATCTGCGAGGAGGGGGGGAGGGGGAGGTTGAAGGGGAGAAGGAGGGGATTGTCCCAGAGAACGTTCCGAACCCACTGCTGTGTAGTCTACCTGCTCGCCTCTCCCTGTTCCTCTGTTCACATGATTACCCACTATCTCCCTGACTCTTTACTGCCTCACCTGCTTCTTCCCCACCCCTGCCTCACCTGCTTCTTCCCCAGTCCCCGCTCCTCCAGCCAGGCCACAACAGCGTCCCCAGCAGCGGTGTTGTCCAGCCCGTTCAGGTCCACCCCCGTGCTCTCATACGCCGAATTCACCATCACCCCGCTCCCCGCATACGCCTCCTCTATTGCCGCCTCTTCTTCTTCTCTTGCCGCTTCTCCTGACGCTCTCTTCCCCTTTCCACCACCGCTGCGCTGCGCTGCTTGGCGCACGACTTGGCGCACGGGCAGAGAGAAGGTTTGGGCGAATTCGAGGTCTCGCGAGTCGTGTGCCGGCACTGCCATGATGGCCCCCGTGCCGTAGCTGCAGCAGATGGGATGGGAGGGATGTGGCAGGGCGAAGGGAAGGTTAAATGAAGGTGCTTTGAGGCGCGCCTCAGGAGTCGTGTGCCGGCACTGCCATGATGTCCCCCGTGCCGTAGCTGCAGCAGATGGGATGGGAGGGATGTGGCAGGGCGAAGGGAAGGTTAAATGAAGGTGCTTTGAGGCGCGCCTCAGGAGTCGTGTGCCGGCACTGCCATGATGGCCCCCGTGCCGTAGCTGCCGGCAAGGAGGGCGAAGGGGGCAGGGCGAAGGGGGCAGGGCGAAGGGAAAGTGATTCGAGGTCTCGCGAGTCGTGTCCCGGCACTGCCATGATGGCCCCCGTGCCGTAGCTGCCGTGTAGCAAGGAGAGGCGAGGTCATGGTACGAGAGGCAGCGGGAGAGAGGGGAGGAGGGGTGCGTTAGAGCATGTGAAGTCACGTGCATCATGTGTCTTTTGAGGCGCCTCAAAAGTAGAGCATGTGAGGTCACGTGCATCATGCGTGGGCGCTGGCAAATGATGGCGCCAGTGCCATAGCTGCAGGCAAAGGAAGTGGAGGGGGAGGGCAGGGCAAGAAGAGGAGCGATAGTACAGAGCACAAGTAGATGGAGAGAGGAGCGCAGGGGTGAGTGAGAGCATGCGCATTTAATAAATCTGCGTCTTCTTAACCACCCCACTAGCACAGCACGCACCTAGCGAGCACGTAGTCGGCAACCCACACGGGGATGCGCTCGCCCGTGACAGGGTTCACCGCCTCTGCCCCCATGGCATGCCCTGTCTTGCTCTTGGCCAGGCCCGTGCGCCTTAGATCGCTCTTCACAGCACAGCAATGCACAGAACCGCACAGCACAGCACAGCACAGTACCCACCTGGCGAGCACGTAGTCAGCGACCCACACGGGGATGCGCTCTCCCGTGACGGGATTCACGGCCTCTGCCCCCGTGGGCACGCCCGTCTTGCCCTTGGCCAGGTCGGTGCGCTCCAGGTCGCTCTTCTGCCCCGCCGCCACCACATACGCCTCCACTGCCGCCCTCTGCTGCTCCGACGTGATGGAGGTGACTAGCGGGTGCTCTGGTGCCAACACTAGGTAGCTGGTGGTGAAGGCGGAGGGGAGGGGGGGAAAGGATGAGAAGAAGGGGGAGAGGGTTGGGAATGGGGGGGGAGGAGGGAAAGAAACATGGCAGCAAGACAGTCTAGCGGTATGAGGCTTTTCAGGCACCCATGATAACAGACTACTACTCGCCAGGTGACTTTTGAGTCGACTAAAAAAGGCAATCCAGCGATGTGAGGATTTTTAGGTGGCCAGGCAGGCAGACGGACTTGATTAAGAGTCCAGACCAATGAGAGGAACCCACGTGGCGCCGCAGATGGTGTCGGGACGTGTGGTGAACACGCGCACGCTGGCAGATCCGTCTGCCACGTCAGCGATGGCGAACTCCACCTCAGCGCCCTCGGACCGTCCGATCCAGTTGCGCTGCATCTCCTTGACGCTCTCGGGCCAATCCAGGCCGTCCAAATCGTCCAGCAGGCGATCGGCGTACTCCGTGATTCGCAGCATCCACTGGCGCATGGGCTGACGAGTGGTAAAGGGGGGGGGAGCGGGTAAGGGGTAAGGGAAGAAAGGGTTGGCATGGAAGACAAAAGTTGAGAGGGGAAAGCAATCGGCGTACTCAGTGATTCGCAGCATCCACTGCCTCTTGGGCTGGCGAGGGGAGGGGAAAGGTGGGAAGGGGATGGAGGAGAGTGGGAGGTCAGTAAGTGGGGAAGGGAGGAGGGGTAAGGGTGAGTGGGGAAGAGGGGCGTTGGAGCACAAAGAAGCTCTGACACAGTGAAGTGAACAAATGAGAAGTCTCAGAAGTCAGTGGAAGGTAAGTTGCATTACCTCTGCGGCAGTATGATGCGTTACAGGAGATGCAGAGAGGGATGCCCTATGCCTGTACCTTCGCATTGGAGTGGGGTGTTCCCCCAACCACCCCCCTCCCATTTCTGTCTTGACGGGTCATATTCGTGACAATCACAAATTCAACCAGAGCACACCTTCCGAATGAAGAACCTTCAGCATCGAAAGCTGAATCCCCACCCACCCACGCACGCACCTTGCGGATGACGGGGTGGCCGCCCCTCTCACTGAGACCGTCCACCACCTCCTCATTCGCCAGCACCGTTCCCAGCGCCGGACACCAGTTCACTGCCACGTCCGCCTGGTGGGATGGGGGAAAGAGGGGCAGGAGTGAGAGGGAGGGGCAGAGAGAAGTAGGGTGGCTGGGACGCCAACGTGACTTTTGAGAATTCTCAAAAAAGGGCAGGAGTGAGAGGGAGGGGCAGAGAGAAGTAGGGTGGCTGGGACGCCAACGTGACTCTTGAGAATTCTCAAAAGAGGGGCAGGAGTGAGAGGGAGGGGCAGAGAGAAGTAGGGTGGCTGGGACGCCAACGTGAAGCGCACCTGGTAGGCGAGGCCATGGTTGAGGATCCACTGCGTCCAGCTATACTGGCGGAGGAGAAGAGATGCCCTTTCAAGCCTCATGCAACAAACCAGTCCCATCCCCACCCCACCTGGTGCGCAAGGGCGCGGCTGAGGACGTGCAGGACGTTCGACACTGCGTCCAGCGGTAGCAGTCGGATTTGAGGTTGATTTTGGGAATTCTCAAACAACCTCAAAATCAACCTCAAACAACAGGAAGTTCCACACTGCGTCCAGCGGTAGCAGTCGGAGCGGTGGATCTTCCTGTCTACGGGTTGAGACTGTCTATTAGCATCTCCAGCCCACGTGATGTGAGGCTCACATGCTGATCAACCCAGCCCAGCCATGTGGACTCTCAACCCCACTGCACCTGGTAGGCGAGTCCCCGGTTGAGGATCTGCAGGAAGATCCACTGCGTCCAGCGGTAGTAGTCAGGGTCGGTGGTTGACACCTCCCTCTGCCAGTCATATGAGAACCCCAGCGCCTTCAGCTGGTGTGAGGGTAAGGGGAGGAGGGCCGAACGGGGATGTGGTGAAAGGAGTGAGAAGAGTGAACGGAGGAGCGAAAGGGGGTTGTGGAATGGAGGGTGGAAACCTTAGCACAATGCATGCATTGCTAAAGTGGCATGCATGCCAGTTCAGATGAGTCAGCCATGCGATGTTTGGGCCAAGCACACACACACACGCACACACACACACACACACACACACACACACACACACACACACACACACACACACACACACACACCTGCGCCCATCAGCACTCTCAAGACTCACCTGCGCCCATCAGCACTCTCAAGTCTCACCTGCGATCTGAACCGTCCAATGTTGCGCTCCGTTGTCACCCGTGGATGTGTGCCGGTCTGATGGCATGCGGAGTGAGTGAGTGAGGGAGGGAGGGAGGGAGGGAGGGAGGGAGGGAGGGAGGGAGGGAGGGAGGGAGGGGAGGGAGGGGTTTCCAAATATTACCGAACGATTTTTCCAGGAAGGGTTTTTCACCTACGTTCCTTCAGTTGCTTATGCGTTTTCCACATCTGAGATTTGCTTCAGTGAAGGCCCTATGGGGCGCATTGCAGTGCGTTGAAGGAGGGATTTGCCCCGCCTCCACTCCACAGCATGCATGCCTTGCTTGCCATTCCCCGCCCCCCTTACCTCGATCGCATACTGCTCCGCGGGCAGACCAAAGGCGTCCCACCCCATGGGGTGCAGCACGTTAAAGCCCCGCATGCGCTTGTACCGCGCCACTATGTCCGTTGCTGTGTACCCCTCGGGATGCCCCACGTGCAGCCCTGCGCCGCTGCAAAGGTAACGGGGTGGAGAGCGGTGGAGAGGGGTGTGTATGAGAAGGGAGGGGGTTGGGGGGAGAGTGGAGGGAGGAGGGGATAGGGTACCGCGCCACTATGTCCGTTGCTGTGTAGCCCTCTGGGTTCCCCACGTGCTGCCCTGCACCGCTGCAAAGGTGGAGAGGTGGAGTGGGGTGTTTGCAAGAGGGGAGGGGGTTGAGGGGAGAGGGGGAGAAAGGGTTTGCTGAAAAGGGGATGATTGCAGCTGGTGTAGTTAAGGGTGGGGCTTCATAGTCTGGAGACGTCTCAGAGTACTCTCAAGCCCGCATGGGGTACGGGATATGTCGAGTCTACGAGTGCAGCACCTGGGGTTGAAGAACATATCAACCTTATATGGTGTACGGGCTTCCAGAGGTCTCACATGAATAATTAAACGCACCAGGGGTACCACCATCCCACCACGGGTAGGGGACATGTCGCACCTGGGGTAGGGGGTACCTGGGGTAGGGGATATGTCGCACCTGGGGTAGGGCGCACCTGGGGTAGGGGGTACCTGGGGTAGGGGAACATGTCGAGGACGTAGTATTTGGGTTTGCTCGTGTCCACGTCATCCGGCGTGCGGAACGTCGCCTTCTCCTCCCACTGCGCCTGCCACTTCGCCTCGATCTCCGTGAACGGGTAGGCGGTCGACTGTCGGCTACCCGTCTGCGCTGGCGGCGCGCCGGCGGTTGCCGGCGCTGTTGCGGGAGCGACTGCTGTATCCACTGCCGTGCTGCTGCTGCTGCCGCTGCCGTCGCTTGCGGCGGCGGAGCAAAGAATGCGGGTGTTCCTGCTCGTGCGGCACGGCGCGGGCTGGCTTGCTACGTGGGAGAATGTGGACCGTAAAGATGACAATCGGACGGACGAGATCGAAGCAGAGGACGATTTCGGCCAGAACGGCGAAGACAACGACATACATCCGTACGGTTGCCTGAAACGGCTCGCGACTCGAGCGCATTTCGCTACGCCGTCGGAACGATTGCCTGCGGCAGGGAATGCGGTGCGAGAGCTGGTGAGAGTGCGCTGCGTGAAGGGCGCGGGAGCCATGGAGCCCGCATATCGGCGGATCAGGCCTCGGCTCGACGCGGCGGCGGGCGACGCGAGGAGTTCCCGAGGGATCGGAATGCACGGGGTCAGGAGCCCGCACGCCATGGCGGCTCGTGCGGTGCGAGGACTGCTACACCGCCGGTATATTCTGAACGACGAGGAGTTAGTGCGGCGTCGCTCACTCAGCCTGCAATGCGACTGACAGCTCGCAGCCAATTTGGTCGTAGGAGCTCCTTGTTTGTCGCATGCAGCTGTCGCTTGGGTGTTGAAAGAAAGGGAAAAGCGAGCAATGTGGTGGCGACGTGGCAAAACTCTCGGCAGCCAATTGGACGCGTCTCATCCACTTCTTTAGGGTTCGGTAACTATTGTTCCGTTATATATACAAGCGATAAAAAGTGCGTTGTGGTGTAAGCCCCCTTAATTCCCTAAGAACCTAACAATATATTGCACAACAATCAAACATTTCTCAGTGGTATGGTGGAAATTACAGGTACCACAACGGATAATATTCAAAGCATATGTACATGCCAGCATACACCAACAGTTGGCAGTTAGCGCGGAAGGAGTTTGTTCAGCTGGGACTCGAATTCGTCCACTTTGCGGCTCAACTCCTTGCTGCCAGACACAACCAATCAAGATTCGCACAGCAAAGTCAGCAGAAAAAATGGAGAGGACATGGCAAGGGAGACGGAGATGGGGTTGAAGGCCGACGAGAAGAGTGGCAGGTGAAGAAAAACTGAAGGGAATGTCAAGGTGCAGTGGACTCACACTTGTGCAGTTAAGTGTGGCAGTTGCTGCAAATCCTCATTCATCCTGCATGCCGCACAATGAGCACTGAAGCTCATTCGTCAACGTTCCTTGACACATGTAAGGCGAGGTCCAACTGGGGTGGGTGCAACCCTCCATGCATGCTCACCCCATGCATGCCCACCCCATGACTGCTCACCCCATGCATATTCACCCCATGCTCACCTCATGCACATTCACCCCATGCTCACCCCATGCACATTCACCCCATGCTCACCCCATGCACATTCACCCCATGCTCACCTCATGCACATTCACCCCATGCTCACCCCATGCATATTCACCCCATGCGCACCTCATGCATGCATTGATGAACCTCATTCCTCTGTTAGCTGCCTCCATTGCTGCCACGGATGGGAAGAGGTGGGATCAAAATAGTCTTGGAGTGAATGCACCAAACCGCAACCATGCCTCATGCAATGCGTTCATCTAAGCATCCATTGACCCACCCACCCAACCAAGCACGCACCTGCGCCCTGCAGCCGCGTGGCAGCATCTCGCTCCACCTCCACGTGCGCCACTGTGTTGCTCGTCACCTGCACCACACGCCGTCGTACCATTGCAACAAACAGAAGCTATTTGAAGGAGCCCGCACAAGTGTGGTGATATATCCGACAAACTGATCTGAGTTAACTCAAAAAGGCATGCACACACCTCTTTGAGATGCCCTCTCAGAGCGTCCAATAGTTGCTTCACAGCGTCTGCTGCGCCCATGGCGCTTCGCTCCGCGTCGTTCAGCACCTGCTGGCGGCCGCGTGGACAGGCGGCATGTCAGTGAATGAGCTTCATCCGGATAGAATCATAACCATAGAAACTCCAGAATGGCAGGGATAGATGACTGGGGCGTTTTTTAGTCAGTTTTTGAGTCGAGAATAGTGGCTGAACCCTAGAATTATCGAGACGATAGACACAGAATAATTCGAATGGATGGCTGGGGCGTTTCGAGACGACACAGAATACACCGGGGCGCACATGTGATATGGGCGGATTGCGATCACCTCCATCATTCCAGCAGGTGATTGTAACGGAGGTGATCCTTGCACCCCGCCTGAGTGGATGCTGTCACTGCTATCCATGCCACGGTCTGCCCCAGAGGGATCAAAGCCTAACGGACGATGTGGCCTAAACGACTTCCAGAAAAAGCCCTACATGCTTCATTCGCGTTTTGCCCGCGCGCTTTGCACTTTTCTTGAATAATGGCGCCTGTCAGATGAAATGACGCCTTCCAATATCCACCATCAGTGCGGAAGAATGGATTTGTTGTTCACAGGATTCAGGGGCACAATTTCCACGACAGCTGTTACATTACAAGTCGTTGCGATCTGAGCACGAAAACCAAAACGTGGGTCGCAGACAGATGGCGTTACATCTGAGTTCCGCATCGTGCAGCATCACATCAGAGAGCCCACCAACCAGATCGCAGAGACGTGTACCCAACCTGGGCTTCGCAGAGTTGACGAAACTCACGACCGCAGAAGTCGATTTCGCAAACAGTTTCGCTGCCCCTCCTTGCGGGTCGTTGGCGACGTTCTGCGAACTCCAGAAACTCAGTCGCCCAGCATCGGCGCTTTGGGATGGGACCATGCGACGACAACGACCCATATCAAATAGCCCTTCCAGAAACTAATCGCCTAATTGTTCAAGAGTGAAGTTGGTTTTCTTTGTACCACGCAGCGTTCCCGAAGCCAGTTGATATTAGGTCCTACATTAGTTGCGTGGGACCAGTGAGGAGCCTTGCCCATTAATCGTGTCCCTTCGGCGTTCCATGCGGCTTCCAAAGAACCTCGGGCCCAGCTTTTCTGTTCAAGATTGCCCACCGATTAGATTGCCCTGGCCGCTGAAGCATAACTAATTACCACATTCCCTCTTGTCCATTAGCAGTTCGCGCAGTCGCACTGGTCACCATCGCTGCGCCCCTTTCTCGCGCGACGAGTTCGTCGTTGCGCAACTGCGCGTATCAAGTCTTCTAACAAGGCCGCTAATTGAAACTTTCAACAAAGACTTTTAGCTAAGCGCGTCGTCGCAATGGCGGTCCTAACATCTCCTCCAAACAGCCTGCCGTACGTGGTGGCTTTGAACTGCATGGAGGGCTGCCACGCGCAAGCTGAGGCACTCGCGGACCTCTGCGTCCTCGAGAATGTCGGGCTCAGCGAGGGCATGCTCGACAAGCTCGAGCGTGCTGACGTGGTGCTCGTTCATTCGCTGCATTACCTGCCGCGCGCCGCGCAGAGAAAGCTCTCCGCGTCGCAGCTGATTCTGTGCCTGGGGTCGTCCGCCGACACGCGCCCCGTCGAGTCGTCGCTCGCGGAGGAGCTCGGCCTGCGATTGGTCCACGTGGACGTGCCGCGCACGGACGAGGTCGCGGACAGCGTGATGGCGCTGATGCTCGGTCTGCTCCGTCGCACGCACGTTCTCGCAGCGCAGGTAGACCACGCCAACGCGCGCAAATGCCCCCTCTGCTCTCCATTCTCCCTCTCCTTCGTTCTCCTTACTTCACATAAGTCGCATCTTTTTATTCGCCATACCCCACTTTCCGCCGCACATCTTCCTCACCTTTCTCCCGCCTCTGCCCCCGTCCACGCCCCGTCCCCGCCTCCGCTCCCTTCCCCACCCAGGGCTGCACGAGCGCGAGCTGGTTCGCGGGGTTCAAAGGCGCGTGGCAGGGCATGCGGCGGCTGCGCGGGATGGTGCTCGGGCTCGTCGGCGCCAACGCTGCTGCGCGCGCCGTCGCGCGGAGAGCCGCCGTGTTCGGCATGCGCGTCGTCTTCTGCGACCCCGAAGGGGTGAGGCGCTCGCGCTTTCGCTGGTGCGGGCGGAGCATTAGGTGGTGTGGGCGGAGCATTAGGTGGTGCGGGCGGAGCATTAGGTGGTGTGGGCGGAGCATTAGGTGGTGTGGGCGGAGCATTAGGTGGTGTGGGCGGAGCATTAGGTGGTGTGGGCGGAGCATTAGGTGGTGTGGGCGGAGCATTAGGTGGTGTGGGCGGAGCATTAGGTGGTGCGGGGAGTAGGGGGTAGTTAGTTGTAAGCACGAGATATTTGAAATTATGCAACATAAGCGCACCAAAAATTTCGCCACTTTTCGACGTGCGCCCATCCTTCCCCAACCCCTCTTCCGTCCCCCCACATTCCCCCTTACAAGCACAGGAGCTGCAGCGCTCCCCGCGGGCGGCGGCGCTGATGCGCGCGGTGGGGACGGAGCGAAGCACAGTGGAGGCCGTGCTGGCCGCCAGTGACGTGGTGTCGCTCCACGTGGCGCTCACTGATTCGACGCTCCACCTGATCAACGACGACACTGCCAAGCACTTCAAGAAAGGTCGGCACGCGCACGGGCAGTGGGGGGAGGAGGGGGGGGTTTGTGAGGCCTTTAGGAGGTCCATGGGCGGACGGTGGGAGAGGGAGGTGAGGTGTGTCTACTTCTTGTACCTCTTCTCCTCCCCTCTCCCCCTTATCTCCAGTCCTCCCCCCTTCCCTATCCTTCCCTTTTTCTCACCCAGCCTGCCTGTTTTGGAGTCGACTCAAAAACTTCTTCTCACCCAGCCCGCCCCTCACCCTTCCAGGCGCCATGCTAATCAACGCCAGCCACTGCCACCTGGTGAGCGATGGTGCCAACAAGAGGGCGCGCAACTGCCTTCATCCTCCCCACCTTGGCCCTTCTCCACCTCTTGGCCCTTCTCCACCTCTTGGCCCTTCATCTTATCCCTGCCTCCCCACCAGGCGCCATGCTAGTCAACGTGAGCAGCTGCCACCTGGTGAGCGATAGTGCCATCAAGAGGGCGCTCAAAAGCCCCTTCTCTTCCCCCTCTTGGCCCTTCTTATTCCCGCCAGGCGCCATGCTGGTGAATGCGAGCAGCGCCCTCAGGAGTGAGCAGCGCCCAACACCAACACCCCTTCTCCCCCGCCCACCTCCTCCCCTTGGCCCTTGTCCTCCCACTTTTGGCGCTTCTTCTTCCTCCCCCCCCTCCCCTCCACCAGGCGCCATGCTGGTGAATGCGAGCAGCTGCCATCTGGTGAGCGACAGCGCCATCAAGAGGGCGCTCAACAGCGGCCGCCTGGGCAGCTGTGCACTGGACGGTGTTGAGGGCAACCAGTGGCTCGAGGCGTGGGTGAGTGGCTGGAGGCGTGGGTGAGTGGCTGGAGGCATGGGTGAGTTTGATGTGAGATCAGGTTGTGGGTGAGTAGAGTAGTGTGATGTGGGTGTGGGTGGGTGAGTGGGGGGGTGGGGCTCTGGAGAGGTAGATTATGGGTAAGTGGGTGTGCGTGTGGTTATCTTGAGGCGCCTCGGAAGTCGTTCCAGTCCAAGCCCTTGTCCCTCTTCTGGTACGGTCAGTCCAGCTGACCGACAGTCCCTCTTTCCTCTCTAGATAGCTTCCTCGAAGACCACCATCGGGCCATCCCTCTTGTAGATAGGAAGAAAAGACCGGAGCCTCTTTCCCTCCTTCCATCTTCCTTCGCTCCTCCTCACATCGCAGGTCCGGGAGTTCCCGAACGTCCTCATCTTGCCTCGGAGCGCCGACTACAGCCAGGAGGTTTGGGAGGCGCTTCAGTCCAAGGCTGTGGCGGTGGTTCGGGCATTCCTAACCTCTGGAAAGGTGCCGGAGGAGCTGGTATTGGATGACTCGTTCGGAGGGGTGGAGGGGGAGGAAGAGGAGGAGGAGGAGGAATCCCAATGGCAAGCGCTACACGCACTCTTCCCTTCTTCTTCTGCTGCTCGTGCTGGTGCTGCTGCAAATGGTGGTGATGGTGGTGGTGGGGTAGGGGGGAAGAAGGCAGGACGGGCAGGTGGGGGAGGGCGAGCAGAGGAGGGAAGGAGGGGTGGGGGCGATGGGAGCAAGAGTGGATCTTCTGGAGGGAAGAAGCAGGGGGGGGAGAGGAGGGGAGACACACAGGCAGATGCGCTAACAGCTTCTGTGGAGAAGGTGGGAATCCCCTCTCGCCTCCTCTCAGCTCCCTCCCACCACTCCCCTCTCACACTTTCCCTCCTTTCACTTCCCCTCCGTTCGTTCTTCCTTCTTTCCGTAGATTTGCTCCTGTCCTCTCGCCCCCATGCTTTCTCCCCTCAACTCGCTTCACTGTACCCCACCCACGTCCTTAGCTTTCACCTTTCGCTTCCCCCTCACGCCTCCCTTTCCTCTCTCTCCCCTTCCATCCTCCTCTCCCTGCGCCCAAACCAGCATCTCCCGGACTGCCCACTGCAAGACGGCATGCTGGTGGCGCTACAGCCGCTCTCCTCCACCTCCTCCTCCGCCTCCTCCTCCTCGCTCTCGCTCCCAGCAGCCTTCGCGGCAGCCTTCCCCAAGGCGCTGTTCGCCGCCAAGCGCCACCAAGGGGGGGCGTCGTGGCGGTTTGCACCGGTGGAGGGTATATCCACGCAGCACCCCAGCGTGCAGTTTGTGATTGTTTGTGACAAGGTGGGTGAGTGGGTGACTGGGTAAATGGGTGGTGGGTGGGTGAATGCTACCCTGAGTGTGAGGCAAGGTGTGTTGTCATGGCACCTTACGAGTCCTCTCTCCGGTGGAGGGGATTTCCACGCAGCACCCCAGGATGCAATTTTTTATCGTTTGTGACAAGGTGGGTGGGTGGGTGGATGGGATGGGAGTGTGGGCGGGCGGGCGGGTGGGCGTGCGGGCGAGCTCTTCACCATGCTACCACCATGCCACCATGGCACCATGCTGCCACCATGCCACGATGGCACCACCATGCCAAACCCTCCTCACGCGACCCCATCCCATACGTGACGTACAGGATCTGCTGGGGTGTCGGTCGGTGTTCGCTGGCGGCAAGTTCCTGCAAGCCACAGAAGGTGGCGAGCTGCTGCTGGTGAACGACGACTTGGATCTCGCAGAGAGCTGGTTCTTCACCGCCCTGCCCCACCCCTCCAACGGCCTCGCCCTCTCCCTCACCAACGCACTGCACTCCCACGTGAGCTCTCTTACTCACGCTCTTCTCTCCCCCTCTCCTCCTCTATCCTTCCACCTCTCTTACTGCCGCCCTCTATGCGAGCTGCTACCTCTGCGAAAGGAAAATCCTCTGCTTACTGTTTCTCAATAGTCTCTTTGAGCCCTCACTCCTGCCGCTAACACGGGGCAAAGAGACGCGCTTCAAGGCATCCCCATCAAGCACACACACACACCGCTCCTTTGCTTGCAACGTTTCTGCTGACATCATATGTTCTTGCTTGAGCCGTTCCCTTTTATTCTATGATCCCACTCACCCCCACACTCCTCCGCTACCCCATGCGCCCCTCTGTTCCTGCTGGCGAGCTCAGGTGGAACTTCAGGTGCTCGTCCACGTCTTGAGTGGAGGCTGATGATCCGAGCATAGTAACCACACACGCACACACAGAGAGAGCACACGGGCTTGAAAAGGGTTTGAAAAGAGGAGCCTTGGTCGCTGGTGCGTCAGCCGAAGCTAATGCCTGGAGGCCTGGGTCCTCCTCATCACCCGTCCACATTCCATCAATCTCTTCTCTGTCTATCAGCTCAGCAGCACTCACACTGGGATGCTGTCATCAGCTCTTCACGGCAGAATTGTATTGGCGAGGTTTATTTTATTGTGTGAGTTCATCCGCACTGCGCATAGCATAGGCCAAGCTAACTAGTAGAGTTGAGCTGCTTGCTTGTGTGAATGTACTATCACCACTTGTCAAGCTGTTCCAGCATCAGTGAAATTATATAGAAATGCACCTGCACATAATAACAGAAATTATACGCCTTGGTCTCGGTGTCTTGGAATTTAGATGCGTGGTGTGATGTAGGGCGGCAGTGGCACTAGGTAAGGTACCGTACACTGGCTCAATCCGGGCGGCCTCTTTTTACGGTACGTTCCAGCTTCCTTGGCACTCCTTGTCTCTGCTTGTTAGGTACTTTGAGCATTCTTGAAAGACTGCCTGAAACGATTCAATAGGGGCGGGTGATGGGCTGCACGTCCCAGATCTCCTCCGCATACTCCTTGATCGTGCGGTCGCTCGTGAACCGTCCGCACCCAGCCGTGCTGCTGATGCTCATGCGCGTCCACTTGGGCACGTCCACATACGTTGCATCTATGGCAGCCTGCAAAGGGTAATGGGGCAGAGGTGGACGCCGGGAATGAGGAGGGTTGCTGGATCAGTACCCGGCCGTGCTCCTGATGCTCATGCGCGTCCACTTGGCCGCGTCCACATACGTTGCATCTATGGCCGCCTGGGGAGAGGGAGAAGGGAGGCAGGAAAGGGAAGGTGAAGGGGGGAGGGAGAGGAGGGTAGCCAAACCAGGCCCCAGCGGTGCTGCTGATGCTCATGTGCGTCTGCTTGGGCACGTCCACATTCGTTGCATCTATGGCCGCCTGGATAGGGTTGGGTTGGGTAGAAGAGAAACAGAGGAAGGGAGGGTGCAATGCACCCAGCAGTGCTGCTGATCCTCTGGCACATGATAAATCTACAGATGTTGCAGTGAGGGAAAGGCGGGGAGCAGGGAGTGCAAGGCAGGACGAGGAACAGGAGCAGTTGGTAAATGCACAGTGCAGGAAGGGGAGCAGAGGAGATGCACATCAACGCTCGCAGGTAGGGGTGGGGAAAGGGCGCACCTGGGCCTCCAGGTAGGTGGGGAAGGGCGCACCTGGGCCTCCAGGTAGGTGGGGAAGGGGCACCTGGGCCTCCAGGTAGGTGGGGAAGGGCGCACCTGGGCCTCCAGGTAGGTGGGGAAGGGCGCACCTGGGCCTCCAGGTAGGTGAGGACGGGCGCACCTGGGCCTCCAGGTAGGTGAGGACGGGCGCACCTGGGCCTCCAGGTAGGTGGGGAAGGGCGCACCTGGGCCTCCAGGTAGGTGGGGAAGGGCGCACCTGGGCCTCCAGGTAGGTGGGGAAGGGCGCACCTGGGCTTCCAGGTAGGTGGGGAAGGGCGCACCTGGGCCTCCAGGTAGGTGAGGACGGGCGCACCTGGGCCTCCAGGTAGGTGAGGACGGGCGCACCTGGGCCTCCAGGTAGGTGAGGACGGGCGCACCTGGGCCTCCAGGTAGGTGAGGACGGGCGCACCTGGGCCTCCAGGTAGGTGGAGAAGTCGTTGGCAAGGAGGTAGTAGTCGTTGCCCGGGCCGTCAATGGAATCCATGAGAGGCGCAAAGAACTCCGTCCACCCAAAGTAGCCACTGCGGATCATGCTGTGGTGCGCGGGAGAGAGGGAGGAGAAGATGAGGAGAGGGACGGAGGGAAATATGTCGTAAAAGAAGAAACGCGAAGAGGAGGTTGAGAGGCGAGCGGTGGGGCGGGCTTCCATCGAGGAACTACAGAGAGCCAGGCAGGGAGAGCATGGAGCAATGACAGAAAGAAGCATCATGGGAGTACGCAACATACCATCACATCATCTTACCCTTTCACCATTTCACCATTGCAGCACAGCCCACGGCACAGCAAGGCAGCAGCACTCACTGGCCCCACCCACCATCCCACAATTGCACGATTTGACCATCGCACCATGCACAGAGCACAGCATGGTAGCAGGCACTCACCCGACAACGCGAGTGAAGTTGCGGCAGGGGGTGAAGGTGCGTCGCTCCTCCCTCAGCTGAGGCACGTCCTTGGTCTCAGCTCCAAACACGAACTGCAATCAGCACCATCCATCCACAAACACCGGGAAGTGCGGAGGAACATCAAGGAAGGTTGAGAGCGGGAGATATGTCGAGGAGCACAACGCGACTTTTGCTCGTACCTACAACTACGAACCAGCACAAACCACATCCTGGTGGTTTGATATCTGGGAAGACTATAAGGAATCATGGAAAAAACACAGAGTGGCACGATAATTAATGTACCATGTCGCACAGTCATGGCATGGCACGGCCGCACGGCCCAACATGGTGTGCAATGCACTGCAATGCAATGTACACACAGGTTTGCCTTGAAAGGACCAGCCATGTTCCCGTGACGTGGCATGTCATTCTAGCAGACTTGACAGCTATGGCTCGCATTGCATTGCATACATGCCACAGTATGCCAAGCTGTCATGACGGGCATGTCACCACAGCAGATCTGCATGAAAGTATGCACAATCTCCTCTCGGTTGCGCATGTACCATGTTTTCAGGGCCAATCTCCTCCCTGATCTCACGCGTGGCGCCATCCAGAGTGCCCAGAATGAGGCATCCGTTCATTGCAAACTTCATGTTGCTCGTGCCCGATGCCTCGTTGCCCGCCGTGCTGTTGCAAGAGGGGAGGCATGGGCGTTCGTTAATGTGGGGGGGGAACATGGAGTAAAACGATAGGAGGACACATGAGGCACCCGTTCATTGCAAACTTCATGTTGCTCGTGCCCGATGCCTCGTTGCCCGCCGTGCTGTTATGGAGGTACGGGAGAGTTGCAGGGTGGGTGTTAGTCACCCAAAATATTGCTGCCACCTGACGTGCTGTGGGAATTAAATGACGCGATGCCTAATGCCCTGTGTTAATCACCTGACTTGATGTGGGAATCACCTGACGTGATGTGGGAATCACCTGACGTGATGTGGGAATCACCTGACGTGCTGTGGGAATCACCTGATGTGTTGGGAGAGGTCGCTGGCAGGGATAATGAGCTCAGCAAGTGACACATTGTAGTCGGGAATGAACACCTGATGGCCGGCGGGCAGGGGGTGAGAGGGTAGGGGGTGAGAGGGCAGGGGGTGAGAAGGCAGGGGGTGTGAAGTGAAGGGCTGGGCACGCAGAGGCATAGCAAGCGAGGTGGCATGAACCCGCACGACTGAGCACTCCAGCACGACTCAGCCGAACCCACCAGCTTGAGCAGGTCACCCGTTCGGCTGTCATTGTTGTTAACATCACTCACAGACAGTGCTGACAAGCTTCACATTCTTACCTTGTACTTGCAAGCGCACCTTATCCCAACTCAACCCACCAGCTTGAGCAGGTCACCCGTTCGCCTGTCATTGTTGTTAACATCACTCACAGACAGTGCTGACAAGCTTCACATTCTTACCTTGTACTTGCAAGCGCACCTTATCCCAACTCAACCCACCAGCTTGAGCAGGTCACACGTTCGCCTGTCATTGTTGTTAACATCACTCACAGACAGTGCTGACAAGCTTCACATTCTTACCTTGTACTTGCAAGCGCACCTTATCCCAACTCAACCCACCAGCTTGAGCAGGTCACCCGTTCGCCTGTCATTGTTGTTAACATCACTCACAGACAGTGCTGACAAGCTTCACATTCTTACCTTGTACTTGCAAGCGCACCTTATCCCAACTCAACCCACCAGCTTGAGCAGGTCACCCGTTCGCCTGTCATTGTTGTTAACATCACTCACAGACAGTGCTGACAAGCTTCACATTCTTACCTTGTACTTGCAAGCGCACCTTATCCCAACTCAACCCACCAGCTTGAGCAGGTCACCCGTTCGCCTGTCATTGTTGTTAACATCACTCACAGACAGTGCTGACAAGCTTCACATTCTTACCTTGTACTTGCAAGCGCACCTTATCCCAACTCAACCCACCAGCTTGAGCAGGTCACCCGTTCGCCTGTCATTGTTGTTAACATCACTCACAGACAGTGCTGACAAGCTTCACATTCTTACCTTGTACTTGCAAGCGCACCTTATCCCAACTCAACCCACCAGCTTGAGCAGGTCACCCGTTCACCTGTCATTGTTGTTAACATCACTCACAGACAGTGCTGACAAGCTTCACATTCTTACCTTGTACTTGCAAGCGCACCTTATCCCAACTCAACCCACCAGCTTGAGCAGGTCACCCGTTCGCCTGTCATTGTTGTTAACATCACTCACAGACAGTGCTGACAAGCTTCACATTCTTACCTTGTACTTGCAAGCGCACCTTATCCCAACTCAACCCACCAGCTTGAGCAGGTCACCCGTTCGCCTGTCATTGTTGTTAACATCACTCACAGACAGTGCTGACAAGCTTCACATTCTTACCTTGTACTTGCAAGCGCACCTTATCCCAACTCAACCCACCAGCTTGAGCAGGTCGCCCACGTCCTCGTCGTTGTTGATCACACGCTGACAGCACCAACACCCCTCACTTACTATCTTGTTTCGAGACGTTTCAAGCACGACTAAGACCAACCCACCAGCTTGAGCAGGTCGCCCACGTCCTCGTCCTTGTTAATGACAGCGCTGATGAACTTCACAATCTTCTCATGCTCCGAGACATAACAAGCCCAACAAAGCCCAACCCACCAGCTTAAGAAGGTCGCCCACGTCCTCATTGCTGTTGAGCACATTGCTGACTGCACTGATGAGCTTCACAACCCAGACGTGTTCAAATGTGTCTCAAGCACAACCGAGCCTGACGCACCAGCTTGAGCAGGTCGCCCACGTCCTCATCATTGTTGATCACATCACTCAGAGCGCTGACGAGCTTCACAAACGTATCGTGTTCCAGGACATTTCAAACACAATTGCAAACCAGCGCACGCACCAGCTTGAGCAGGTCGCCCACGTCCTCGTCCTTGTTGATCACTTCGCTCACGGCGCTAGTGAGCTTTATGATCTTCTCATGTGTTCCTAGACATGCAAATCGCAAACCAACTGCGAGAAAGCCCAACGCACCAGCTTGAGCAGGTCGCCCACGTCCTCGTCCTTGTTGATCACTTCGCTCACGGCGCTGATGAGCTTCACGATCTTCTTCGCCAGGTCGTATCCTGGCGCCGCCTTGCCTCCCAGCAGACACACGCGCGGCACCACGCGCTTGCGCTCCTCGGGACTCATCTTCTGCTCCACCCAAGGTGAAAGAGGAGGAAGGGAAAGAGTGGGGCGCAGAGGAAAGGAAAGGTTGAGACTCGAGAAAGCTGTGTGGCCGCCCAGCAGACACACACACACACACACGTGGCATCACCCACTTGCAATCCTTGTGACTCATCTTCTGCTCCAATATGCCAATATTTTTCAGATCATGAAGGGACTGGATGGTGTTGATGCAGTCGTAATGGTGGATGATGCCCATCACATTCAGCAGGTGGCGCTTGTACTCGTGGATTCTTTTGAATCGACTCAAGAACCAACCAAGCTGAGCCTATACTCTCAATTCGCCAGGGGACTGACCTTGATGCAGTCGTAGCGGTGGATGATGCCCATCACGTTGAGCAGCTGCCGCTTGTACTCGTGAATGCGCTTCACCTGCACGTCAAACATGGCGTCGATGCTCACCTGCAGCAGCATGGGGTGTGGGTGGGGAAGCACGGGAATGGAACACGCAGGGAAAGGAGGTGAGCACAGTGAGAGATTTCTGAGTCGAATGAATACTCCCCTTGTACTTGCGGATGCGCCTGCACGTCAAACATAGCGTCGATGCTCATCTGCAGCATGGGAGTGGGAGAACCCCAGGAATGGAACACGGGGGAATAGGGAGAGGCGAAGAGATGGAGTACGAGAGGAGGCTGATGACTTCCAAGTCGGACTATATGCAGCATACAGCACATGGGGAAGAAGACAAGGAGCACGCAAGGGAGGGAAAAGTAAAGGCAGGAGGATTGAGTCAAGCACATACAGGCTCAGGTCTTTTTGCGTATGCGCTTGACTCGTGCATTAACCCTCAGCTCTTGACTTCACTTTGTGACCACTACATCAACCCTCACCTCTTGACTTCACTTTGTGTCCACTGCATCAACCCTCACCTCTTGACTTCACTTTGTGTCCACTGCATCAACCCTCACCTCTTGACTTCACTTTGTATCCACTGCATCAACCCTCACCTCTTGACTTCACTTTGTGTCCACTGCATCAACCCTCACCTCTTGACTTCACTTTGTGTCCACTGCATCAACCCTCACCTCTTGAACACATCCGGACAACTTGTAAGTAGCACAAGACGCTGATTCTAAACAAAACAGCAGTTTACTTCAGAAGAATTTCTCCAAGACTAGGCAATAATCAAGGCTGAACTGGGAGGGGCTGAAAGAATGTAGCGGCGGGCCGGCCAAACAGGCAGGAAAATCTCTAGGACTGAAGGACAGAAGCGGCAGGAGAAGGAATGAGAAGACGACTACTAGTCAGCTGATGTCTTAGAGTCAGCTCACCTTGATCCCTGAAATCCCCTCAATATATGCAGCCAGGCGAGCTTTGTTCTGCCTACGAACCTGGAGATTCAGAGCGCACGTATACATACATACACGCAGGTACGTGCACAAAGACAGACGTAGACATGCACGTGCATGCATGCCCATGCACACACCAACAGACATACACACACCACATGCGTGCATGCACATGCTCACAACAACATACCCACACGGCAATACACCAGAACACATACAGAACAGGTATGCACGCAGAAGCACAGATGCACCAAATCGCACGTCAGAATATGAAACAAAGTGTGTGCACACAAACGAAAAAGATCAGAGCAAGTCCAATCTTCGACATTTATTTAGGTGGGAAATCAATTTTGATAACACAATCACAGTCCCCCAGCAGTCCCAGCCCCACAGCAGCCCCAGCCCCACAGCAGCCCCAGCCCCACAGCAGTCCCAGCCCCACAGCAGCCCCAGCCCCACAGCAGCCCCACCTGCATCCACTGTGTCTGCAGCAGCGGGTCATCAACATGCTCCTTGAGCCCAGCCACGAGGTCCAGGTTCGTGATCCATGACTCTGTGCCCAGCCACTGGGTCAGGATCGCCGCCAGCCCCGGGTTGCAGAATGCCAGCCAGCGACGCTGATAGGGGGGGGAGGGGGTTTGGGAGAAGAGAGCGCAGCAGAGTGGGACAAGTGGGAAAGTTGGTCTGAATGGGTCAGGATCGCCGCCAGCCCCAGGTTGCAGAACGCCAGCCAGCGACGCTGATGGGGGGGGAGGGGGTTTGGGAGAAGAGAGCGCGGCAGAGTGGGATAAGGGGAGTAAGTGGGAAAATGGGTCAACCACTGGCTGGGTGAGAATCGCCGCCAGCCCCGGGTTGCAGAATGCCAGCCAGCGACGCTGATGGGGGTGGCGGGGGGTGGGATAGCGGGGTGGTCACTTGGTCAGCAAGAAGCGCTGACAATGGCGGGAGAGTATGGCGAATAAGATTGGCATGGAAACGTGTTGAGGGAGGCAGGATCTGGAGCAGCGTGGCTCACCTGGGTGACACCGTTTGTCTTGTTCTGGAACTTGTGTGGCCAGATGTCATAGAAGTCCTGCAAGCGGGCGGCGAGGACCAAGGGTTGAAAAAGACAGGGTTGAGACGTGCACCCACACACCCACAAGTGCTCTTCAACAAACCTGACTCTTCTGTCCCCAGCACATGCATCACAACACATCAACACGAATACACGTTCAAGAGCAAGCTTGCGTAGTTGCGTGGCCTCCATCCAGGGACCAAGCTGACTTTTGAGTCGACTAAAAAAACGAGCAGGCTTGCGTGGTTGCATGGTATACATCTAGCAACCAAGCTCTCTGCTTTCCTTCCCTCCTCTCTGCCTGATTTCCCTCCTCGCTGCTGTCTTTCCCTCTTCTCTGCTCTCACTCCCTCATCTCTGCTCACTTTCCATCCTCTCTGCTCTCTCCTTTCATCCTCTCTGCAATTTTGTTGAGTGTGTTTTGAATGAGGTCATTTTGAAAAGCTTGCTTTCAATAAGGTCACCTTGAAGAGCGTGTTTTCAATGAGGTCTGTGTGGATCTGAGACACGCCGTTGATGGTATGACACGTCACCACCGCCAGCGTTGCCATGCGGATGCTCTGACAAGAATGGGAGGAGAGGGAGAAAGGTGAAGGGCGACAGGGCTGGGGGGACGGACAGAAGTGTAGGAACGGAAACCTAACACTCTCTCCCCAACTTGTGCATGCCTCACACTCTTCCCAACTTGTGCATGCCTCACACTCTTCCCAACTTGTGCATGCCTCCCATTCATGCAGATATTGTGCGCCCTTCCCACCTTGTGCGCACCCTCCCCACATTATCCACACTCTCCCATTACCCACAGGGTGCGCCCTCTTCCACATCCCCCAACTCGTGCGCCCTTTCCGCCCACTCCTCCACCTTCCACGCCCTCTTTCCCCGTGCCCCGTCTTGTGCGCCCTCTCCCCTCCCTCCCCCCAACTTGTTCGCCCTGCTCCCTCCCCCATTCCCCACTATGTGTGCACCCTTCCCTCCACATTGTGCAACCTCCCCCACCTTGTGCGCAATCTCACTTCCTTTCCCACCCCCCCACCTTGTGCGCGCCCTCCCTTCCCTTCCATTCCCCCCCACCTTGTACGCACACATCCCCCAAACCTTGTGCGCAATCTCACTTCCTTTCCCAACCCCCCACCTTGTGCGCGCCCTTCCTTCCCTTCCATTCCCCCCCACCTTGTACACACTCCCCCCTCCCTCACCTTGTGCGCGCCCTCCCTTCCCTTCCATTCCCCCCACCTTGTACACACTCCCCCCTCCCCCACCTTGTGCGCGCCCTCTTCAATGATGGACATGCGGGAGAGGCGGTCGTAATCGTTGCCGATGCGCTTCTTCAGGTCCACAATGAAGTTGTGGTTGATGTCATAGATGAGCTGATGACACAGGGAGGGGAAGAGGGTGGGAAAAGGGCTGGGGAGTGAGGAGGGCAGAAGGCAGTGAAGCAGGAAAAAAACAGTCGTAGTCATTGCCGATGCGCTTCTTCAGTTCCACATTGAAGTTGTGGCTGATGTCGTAAATCAGCTGCCAAGGGGAAGAAAGTGTGCAATAAGACGCGGAGTTGGAACGTCTCTCATCTACCAGGAAGAAGTGTTGATCAGCTGAGGCGCTTCAAAAGACTGACCTCCAGGCGCTGCCACAGCAGCAGCAGCGCCTCAGAGGTCTTTACGAGCGATATTCAAAGTCCCAAACGACTGACCTCCAGGTGGCGCGGCAGCAGAGTCTCGAGAATCTCCACAGGCCATTTCTCCAGCGCTTCCGGCAGCACCGTATGATTGGTGTAGGAGAAGGTGTGCGTGGTGATGTTCCACGCGTACCCCCACTCCAGCCCCTCCTCGTCCACCAGCAGGCGCATGAGCTCCACCAGCGCCAGCACTGGGTGCGTGTCGTTCAGCTGCAGCGCCACCTTGTCCTTGAACTCATCGAACGTGGAGTGCTCCTCCTTGTAGCGGCGCACGACGTCTTGCATGGTGGCGGAGACGAAGAAGTGCTGCTGCTTGAGGCGCAGCTCCTTGCCCTGGTACGTGCGGTCGTCCGGGTACAGCACGCTGCTGATGGCCTCCGCCTTCTGCTTGCTCAGAATCGCGTTCACGTAGTCCCCCGTGTTGAAGCTTTGCTGGGGAGCATTGTGGAGCGCGTTGAAGAGTGGAATGGGGGGTCGGGTGGGTGAAGTGGAAGGGAAAGAAAGGGCTGTGTCAGGAAGATTGAAGGAATTGTGGGAAAAAAGGAGGGAGGGAGGGGGGGACGTCAGAAAGTGTGCTGGGAGAGTAAGATTGCGACACGCGAATTCCTCTCATATCGTACTGACCAGGTCGAACTCGCCACTGGGCTTCGCGCCCCACAGGCGCAGGTTGATGGTGTTGTTGGTGTGGTAGCCGGGGATAGGATTGTCGTATGCCACTGCCTCCACCTGGTGAAGAAGAAGGAGTGAACACAAGGGGGCGTTAAAGGAAGTGGATTAGTGAACGGGACGAGTAAAAAACATGGCAAAAGCAGAAAACAACAGACAATTATAATAACCATGGCTTAGCTTCAGAATTATGACCAGGGGGGAAGGAGGGGGTGGGGAGAAGAAGGGCAGGAGGAAGGAGGGAGAAAGAAAGAGGACGGGAAGGAGGAGCTGACCGTTTCGCCCTCGACCCATCGCTTGCGGGGGTGGCCGGCCTCGGTGTAGGACTCAACGGTGCCGTAGAAGCGCACGGGGTATGTCACAAACACGCGCTCTATCTCCCACGGGTTGCCAAACGTCAGCCAGTAATCCGGCTGCTCGTGCTGGAAGCCGTCCTGTAGAGTCTGCCGGAACATGCCGTACTGGTAGCGGATGCCGTAGCTGAGGGGAAAATGGAATAGATGAGGGGAGGGGAAGGGAAAGAGTGTTAGGAACAAAACCGGGTGGCCTGAGGTGGCTCCAAGCCGTCCAGCAGGGTCTGCCAGAACCTGCCGTACTGGTAGCGGATGACGTAGCTGGGAAGGAGGGAGGGAGAGACGGGCAGAATGGGGAAGGGTTGGGAAACTGCGGAAGATGGACACGAGACTGTGAAAGTTGCTGGGGGAATGAGAGCATGATGATACGAGGCAGCGCATCCGCATACCAGTGTCTTTAACGAGGATAACCCAAACACACCAGCAGATGGGTTTCAAACAAGTGTTCCTCTCTCTAAACAGCTCACAGCGCATCTGACGGGTTGGTTGCTTACCCCCATCCCGGGTAGTTGAGCGTCGCCATGCTGTCGAGCACGCAGGCTGCCAGGCTGAAACACACAAGCAAGCAAGAAGCAGATCAAACGCGTCTTATGACACGAACAAGCAAATGCAATGTGGCAGGCGAGCTGATTGACTTTAGCCTGTTAGACATGAGGAGATACCAGTAAGAGAAACTGTATCCTGCACCGTGATTTCTTGCGAAATGGGAGAAGCAGCATGTACCCTACCAAAACAAGTCGAATGTACAATATCGTGTCAATAACAGCGGTAGCGGCAGGGAAGGACTGACCGGCCAAGGCCACCGTTGCCAAGAGCAGCATCCCTCTCCTGCTCCGCCAGCACCTCGAGCTTGTAGCCCAGCTGCCCCAGCGCCTCCACATACTGGTCCTTCATTCCCAGGTTGAATATGCTGTTCAACAGCGACCGCCCTGCAACAGGTGAAGAGGTGAGGTGAACAGGAGCCCGATGGCAAGGAGGACAGGCAGAGACGTGGATGGTGAGCCTTGCAATGCAAACACTGCTGATCGCTGACGGAGTTGCACCATTGATGGTAAGAACAACAGCTCCTTCAAAGTGGACATGTTGAGGAATCACCCATGGGGAACTCCATGGTGAGGTATTAGACACGGTTAAAGTCCTGGTCTCTGTTGGCATCCTATGATGCCTTGCGAAGAGCCATCGCCATGGTACCTCAACCTCAGCCTGTGTGTACCCATCAGGAACTCCAAGGAGAGATAGTAGACGTGCTTGGAAGTCCCGGTTTGTGTCTATATGCTATGATGCCTTGGGAACAGCCATGGCTATGGTACCTCAACCTCAGTCGTGCATACCCATGAGGAACTCCATGGAGAGGTAGTAGACGCGCTTGGAGTCCTGGTCCTTAAAGTACTGCTGTGTGTCGTTCCAGCTCTCAATCAGCCGGTCCCTCACGCTGTACGCTGTCGCCTGGGACACAACAACACAGAGAGAGACAGAATAGTGAACTTGTGTTCTCAGAATTACGCTTGTAAAAATACGAATACAAGGTCAAAACCCAACATTTCTTACCGCCTTTGCTTGCTAAGAAAGAGGGGTGAGAACGAAGAGCAAATACAAATAGGTTTTTAACAGAAACAGATCCAGCGTTCCACGCGCTCACCTGGTACGCCTCGAAGTCGTCGAATTTGTATCTGCTGCGCGCCATGGTGTACTCCACGTGGTCCACAATGCTCCGCTGGATGGACAGCACGTCGTTCTTGATGTACGTGTCCATCAGGTTGTGCAGCAGCTCCGTACGCCGTTTCATCTCCGGCGAAGCCGACGGGTCCAGCGTTGTAACCGGCCTAATAAGTCTCGCCGGCCGGACCGGAGCATCTTTCGGCGAGTCACCCTTGGCGTCTAGAACCAGAGCTCTCACCACGCACTTGCGGATGTTCTGCAGATCGCGTTTCTGGGTGATCTTTTTTCCGTCGACGGCCGTGACGTAAAACGCGTCGGCCACGTTACCGTCATCATCAAGATCGACGACGGCCTTGCCGACGTCCAGGCCGAGATCACGAAACGTGAGCGTTAGAAGCTGGAGCAGTCCAGGTCTATTCTGCGCGCTGACGGTGATAATAGTGTAGTTCTCGCTGCTCTCGTTGTCCACGGAAACGACGGGCTCGCCGGGAGCTGGGGTTGACGAGAAAACTTTGCTGAAATCCAGCAACAGAGAAATCTCGCCGTCCGCGCGAGCTCGAACCTGGACTCCGCGGCTCTTACGGGAATTCCCATCTCGGTCAGTGTTAATCTTTCGACCCGATGCAGTAGAACGGCGGAGGTTAGAAGGAACCTTCACTGCGAGCTTGGGGTGAGAGATTCCGACCCCGAGAAAGCTACTGGCAGCGCGAAGAGAGCCTGCCATGGTTCCCAAAATTCTCGACTATCGGCAAGATACACTTGAAGCGAACAAGTTTAAGCGTTGCCGCGTGTAATACTCGCGGCAAGACACCTGAGAGCCGAAGCAGCACAGGCGTCAGTCAGCCGACTGAGGTATGTAGGGTGGGAGTCGGGACGAGATCAAGATAGAAGAGTGGTGAGAGATGGGAGATGCGAAACCTCCAGGCTGTCTGGTTTCACTTTGGATCAACACAAATGGAGAACAGTGGGATCATGAACCTTGGAGTTGCCCCATCGGAGACTGCCAAACACCTCGGGAATTCAGCAAGTGACACTGTACAATTTTTGGTGGGATCCAATTCGTGACGTTTGAAGATGCCTGAAACGAGGACGTGGCGCACTGGACGAGTTGCCGACAGACAGGTCAGTCAGTCTACCCTGATTGGCTTCTTTTCCTCTTGTTTTGGGGCCGCCATTGACGAGGATCTGATCTGCCCCCGAGCATTGCTTATCTCGTTAAAGGGTAAGAAGTCACAAGTTTTAGTGAGGTTCGTAATCTGTGGGCAGGTGTTACGAGTGCAATTGAGTGAACGAACGAGAATTGCACTATCGAAGCAAGAGTTCAATGAGCGAAGGCATGAGCGAGGAATATATAGCGAAACTACAGTGGTAACGGTAATGGACTGTGGTTGTCGCGCGACGGGCCTGGGACTGAGGTTGGGAAAAAGTGTCGAAGCGGAGGCCCAGAGCGCGGGTTACCCGCCGAGCCATGAGGTCGGGGTGCGATGTGCGAAGGTGGCGGGAGGATTGTCGATGCGAGAGTCGCGAGTGGTAACGGTGCTGACTGTGGTGCTACAGTGGTGTACGCGCTCAGCGGGGACGCGGAGTAAGGAAAAGGAATTTTCCTTACACTACCCCCCCCCCCTTAAGGAGGTCCTCCTTACGAAAGTGCGTGTACATCCCTGAAATTTCGGCTGCGCAGATACTCGGTGAGGACGGGGTGGTTTTCGATTCTGTCCAGGGGAACCCAATTGTCTTCGGTGGGTGTACGGTCCTTCCAGCGGAGTAAGAACTCGATCCTTCGGGCTCCTCGAGGGTCGCGAACTCTGTGACTCAGGATTTTTTCGGGGGTGATGATTGGTTCAGTTGGTGGTCTTGTCATGCTAGCTGGGCGATTGCGTGGCAGTTGGCTCGTGGACGGGACGTAAGGGCGAAGCAGGCTGACGTGGAATGAGGGGCTGACGTACCAGTCAGCAGGGAGGAGGAGGTGGGCGGTGACGGGTGTGATCATGTGGCTTATGCGAAATGGCCCGCAGTATCGGGGGCGGAGTTTCGGGGTGATGGGCAGTCGGAGGTTCTAAGTGTCAAGTAAAACTAAGTCGTCGGGCTGGTAAGTGACAGGTCCGCGGTGGCGGTCGGCGTTGCGTTTAGCGATGATGTTCGATTTTTTTATTGCGTCTGCTGCCCGGGTCCGTGTTGCTTGTAATATTTCGGAGAACTGTTGTGCTCGTGGTACTGGGTTGTCGGGATTCGGGGTCATGGGTACTGTCGGGTCTTGTTCGTAGTTTAAGTAAAATGGTGACTGTTGGGTCGTGGCGGATGGCGAGTTGTTGTACGCGAATTCGATTAGTGGCAGCTGCTGTTCCCATATGGTCGGGTCGTCACACGTGGCCCTGATGAGCTGTTCCATGGTCTGATTTGTCCGTTCTGTCTGTCCGTCGGTTTCGGGGTGGTATGATGAACTGAACTGCAGTCGCGTGCCGAACTGCTGCCACAGGTTCCGCCAGAAGTTGCTGGTGAATTTCGTGTCGCGGTCGCTGATGATCGCGGCTGGTATCCCGTGCAGTCAAACGACGGTGGAGATGAAGAGGCGTGCTGTTTCTTCGGCTGTGATTGATTTTTTGCAGGCTGCGAAATGTGCCATTTTCGTCAGTCGATCGACGACGACCAGGATCGCGTCGTTTCCACTCGCCCCGGCCGGTAACCCCGTGACGAAGTCCATCGTCACCTGCTGCCAAGCACGCTCTGGGGGTGGTATCGGCTGCAACTGTCCCGCTGGCCGCTGTCGTGATGATTTCATTAGCTGACAAGTGGGACATGATGCCACATGTCGTTGTACGTCGGTCAACATTTCGGGCCAGTAATAATACCGCTGCAGCTGTTGCCGTGTTTTTTCTACTCCGAAATGCCCCGAGGTAACTCCGTCGTGTGCCTCCTGTAATAGTAATTCCCGTAGCAGTGTATACCCAGGTACCCAAATGCGGTCAGTCCCGGCTTTTACGTAATAGACTCCCCTTGCTGCTGCGAACTGCTGCGAATTTCCTCCTATGAAAAATGGATCTGTTTGGTACCCGTGGGTAAATAGGCCTGTCAGTAGTGGGCTTGTCTGGGCGAGTAGTATTGCGTGGATCTGGGCAGTGGGGCGGGTCAGTGCGTCGGCGATATTCGAGGCTCCCTTTTTGTAAATGACCGTATAGTGAAAATTGGACTCGAGGAAATTGAGCCAGCGAATCTGTCGTGGGTTGAGGTGTGGCTGTGCGCGAACGTACTGTAGTGATTTATGGTCTGTCCGTACTGTCACGTCCGCGCCAGTCAAGTAACAGCACCATACTTTGAACGCGTGCACGATCGCAAGCATTTCGCGGTAGTGTATCGGGTAATTTTTCTCGGGCGGATGCAGTTTTCGTGCCTCGTATGCGATAGGCTGTAGGCCATTGCCGAAATCCTGTAGCAGTACAGCTTCGATGGCGATATCGCTTGCGTCGGTAACTACTTCGAATGGGCGGTGTGGGTCGGCGATGCGCAGGACGGGCGGTGAACAGAGAACATTTTTCAGGGCAGAGAAGGCAGCATGCTCTTTCTCCCCCCACGTAAAAGCGACCCCCTTCCGTAGTAAGTCCGTCAGTGGGGCAGTTAACCGTGCCATATCGGGGACGAACCGACGCACATAATTAACGAACCCTAAAAAGCTCTGCAGCTCCGTGATGTTCGTCGGGGGATGCCACGCTTTTACCGCATCCAGCTTCGTTGGGTCGATTTCAACTCCAGCCTCCGAAATAACGTGCCCCAAAAATTCTAATCTATCCTGGAAGAACTCGCACTTGGAACCCTTGGTCAGTAATCTGTGCTCGTCTAAAACCTTAAACACTGCTTCCAGATCTGCTAAGTGCTGCTGCTTATCCCGACTGTAAACTAGGATGTCGACGAGGTAAACTATGACACATTTATCTAAGAGCGGCCTAAATGCCTCGTTCATGGTCATCTGAAAAGTCGCCGGTGCGTTGGTCAGCCCGAATGGCATCACAGTGTACTCGAACGACCCGTACATAGTCCTGAAGGCTGTTTTGGCGCAGTCCGATGGTTCGACTCTAATCTGATGGTAACCTCCCCGTAAATCGATTTTCGAAAAAAACCCGTGCTGTTCGCAGTTGTTCGATCAGTTCGTCGGCGCGGGGAATGGGGTACCGCGACTTGACTGTTACCCTGTTCAGTGCTCTGTAGTCGATACACATGCGAAAACCCCCGTCTTTTTTCGGCGTGAACAGTATCGGTGCGGCGAACGGGGACGAGCTCGGTCGGATGATTTTTTTCTCTAACAGGTAATCTAACTGCTTCCTTAGTTCGTCGAGCTCGGGCTGTGTCAGTCTGAACTGGCGCTGTACGGTTGGCTGTGCCCCCGGTTCTAATTCGATTCGGTGGTCATGTGCTCGCTGAGGTGGCAGTCCTTCCGGTAAGTCGTCGGGGAAAATCCCGGGGTACCGTTTCAACAGTTCCTGTAATTCGGGCGGTACGGCTGCCAGCAGTTTCTTGAAATCACTCGGCTGCTCTGCTTCCTCTACTACTGCGATGTCTACTGCGTACACGCCAGCTCCAGCAGCGACAGCCCGTTTCATTGTGATGGCGTTGACGTGTACCGTTGAAGACTCGGGCGACTGCCAGCGAGGTAGTTCGATCCAGTTACCACTACTTCGCACGGTGCAGCTACCCGTCGTCCAGTCAATTCGCGGGTTATACCGTCGCAGCCAATCGCGCCCCAGTAAAATATCGTGCCCATCCAGTGTCGTTGCGAGCATTTCCTGTGTAAACCCAAAATTCCCCCCGCAGCGGACTTTGACTCTCTCTACCTTTTCCCGTATGGCCAGTGGCGTGCCGTCGACTAAGCGTGCGTCTATCTCCGGTAAGCAACGGCTAAGTGTCAGCTGCAGTTTTCGTGCGGTTGCGGTATTAACTAAACTGTGGCTTGCTCCTCCGTCGATAAAAATCTTCACTGCTGCTCCCTGTATTTTCCCGTGGATCAGTACTGGGCAATCCGTCGCTGTACCCTCCTTATTCGTCCGAGTCCGATCGATAGCATGAATCGGTACTGTGACTCGGTGAGGGTCGGTGGGGTTGGGCGAGCAGGCAGTCTTGTCAGTAGTTGGCCCGATTCCTACTGACTGCTGGCGTTTCCCTGCCTTGGAGACTCCCTCCCCTGCCCTGCTCCGCGGCGCCTTAGCTCCTCTGGGCATTCGCTCTTGCGATGGCCCGGCCTGTTGCAAGCAAAGCAGCGCCCCTTAAACGGCGCGGCAGCTGCATTCGTCGCAACAGCGTGTACAGTGGCGTGCTCGATCGGTCCCCGAGGACAATGTCCATAGTAGGACCCCGGTCTCGGACGGCGTAAAATGTCGATTTTCTCGGCGAGCGCGAGAATCTCGTTGAAGTTCGAGAGCCCGCGTAGCATGATTTCGTGTGAGATGTCCGGCTTCAGCCCTCCGACGTAACGGTCCACCCGCTCCGCTTCATGCATGTAGCCGACTTGCTCGCATAATGCGAGAAAACCACTCGTATAGTCTTGAACCGATCCGAGCTGCCGCCAAGTGCGCAATCTCTGACGCGCCGAAATAGAAGCCGCGATCGGCTCGAAGCGCGCCCGAAGCCCTGCGCACCAGGCATCCCACGTGCTGTATTGGGCGGTCTCGCAGAATGAACTCCAGGTGACAGCTGGACCCGTGGGCCCTTCCTCTTGCGACGGTGGCTCGTAGGCGC